ATTCCCCCTGTCCAGGTGAGAGAGAGAATGCTGAAGCACCCCACCTTCTCCTAGTATGCTGAGGGTTGAGCGCCTAGCAAACCTGGGGTCTGAGGTGGTGCAGCAGCAGCCGCTCCGGGGTCTTCATGATGTGTGATGTCAGGGCGATTGCCCTGAAGTCGTTCAGAGGGGCATTTTCATTTTTTCATTATTGTAATTACAGTAAAAATACTAAAATGAAATCACCTGGTGTGAAAAGTGGACCACTGACATATAAATGACATATGGCTGGAAGCAGTAATGATAATTAATGCACTGGTGATACACCCTCAAAATGGAGACAATCAAACAACATGTCCACATACAGTTTACTCTCTGGCATCTTTACTGAGAATAGATTGCTGAACGGAAAAACATTAACAACAGGGCTGGGTTTATAAACTTTTGAAGATGGGGTAGGTCACACAATTTTGTGCCAGTTTGCGATCATTTTGCAACTCTTTGTAGGGTTATCTTGTGACTCTCTGGTTTTTGTGTGTCTCATTGTGGACCCTTTATGTCTTTTTATAACCATTATTGTGCCTCTTTGTAGTCATTTGATTGACTTTTCAAAATGTGTCACTTCATACAAAGGCTCAGTGACACTTTATAATATGGTACACCAAAATATTCATAGTTACTGAGGAACCAGAGAGGGGGTGAATCTGGAATGATCTGCTAATTAATAAATTAAATTAAAATAACTTGAAGATTTTTTGAGAGCTACATAGTAGATAATGAGATACTAGAGAACAGACTAGGTGATATTGTACTATAATAATGAATCATTAGGTGATGAGTAGTTCAGAATCGAAATGTAATGGCCAACCTTTTTTTTTATTATCAGAATCAGAATCTGTTTATTGGCCAGGTGTGTTGGACACATGAGGAATTTGACTCTGGTACATCAGCTCTCAATGTGCAAAACAGTAACCAGCATATGGCTGTGTAATATAACAAAAGTATTAACGTCAACAAACAATGCAAACAATGCAGAAAAAGCAGTATAAGCAGACAGTAAACAACGCAGACAACAAAGGAATGTTCATCAAAATGAGGTAATTAGGGATAAAAATAGGGTACTTAAAACAAACTAGAGACCTGTACGAGTCTGTATGATCTGTACAATGTATATATACACAGGTATCGCACTGAGGGTTATTGTCCAGTCATACTGTTGTGGGTTAAGTATTCATCAGAGCGACAGCCTGGGGGAAGAAACTGTCCCTGTGCCTGGTTGTCTTAGTGCACAGTGACCTGTAACGCTGTCCAGAGGGGAGGAGTTCAAACCGATTGTATCCGGGGTGTGAGGGGTCTGCAGTGATCCTCTCCGCCCTCCTTTTGACCCGTGAGGTGTACAGGTCCTCCATATATACTGTAAGTTGTTCCTGATTAACTGTGAACCTGTCAGTGAGCGGCACAAAGGTGAAACTACTTTCTAATTACCTTTTTTTTGCACCCCCAAGTAAAAAGGTACATTATACCAAGTGGTTACTAAGTAGTATTCAATAATCATGAATTATGATAGAGAATTCATGTTATTCTGCAGGGAGACAGAACATTTTTGGCCATCTGGAGTTAATCTGTGTCACAATCTCACGGTACAACTGCTTCTTTAAACATCACACACAGGTGAAACCACTTGAGTTAATTAGCCTGCACCTGGTTGAGTAATCATGGATGAAACAAGCAACATGCAGTACAGATAATGTGAGCTTTTGTTTTGCCCCTGTAAAAATATTATGTAGGAAAGGACTTTATGTATGCTCAAAACAGGACTGAACATTGTATTTGCAGTAGAAGAAAAGACATAACTTCACCTGTAGCGAGATACTTTATGAAGTTCTCAAATGTATTCAAAGGAATCATAGAAGTGGAGACACTGAGAAATTGTTATTAAAAAGGAAATGCTTCTGGATATACTGTATACCTTCAAAACACTGTATCCTAATGGCTTAAATGAAGAATATTACCCAGCCATTTTTCTATAAACATACAGTGTTTGTCTTGCTGAACTCTAATATCCACTGTTCAGTGAACGGCTACATGCCTGATTTGACATCGATGCTTTTTGATGCAGTTAAATTAGAAAGTCCGCTATTTGGCTTTACATAGATTTGAATATACTGTCACTTTTACCTGTGTTCTAAGAATTCAGCTTGTTTCATCCATGCTTACTCGACCAGATGCAGGCTAATTAACTCAAGAGCTTTCACATCTGCGTAATGTTTAAACAAGCAGTTGCACTGTGAGATTGTGACATTGATGAAGGCCAGATGACCAAAAACATTCTGTCTTCTTGCAGAATAAAGTGATTTCTTGCCACTGAGTGCAATCCTAAATTATTATTATTGGATAATACTACTGGGAAAATACACCATTTTTTTCCTGAGCACGGTGGAATCCACACATAAAAACGGCCCCATACTG